GGGGGGGGGGGCAAACGGTCGCACGACCAGCGGCTGCCCATGGATGCTCCCGCCGTGGAGATGCATGTGAATGTGAGCCCTCGAATTCGTGGAGTTCCCCCCACCCCCTGCCCCTCAGCCCGCTCTCGCGCACATGCGCGGGGCAACATCGGCGCGTGGTCGACACTCAGTGTGCTCCCCGGCCCCATCCAGCCCCTGGGGGGGGGGAGAGCGGGGACAAGGCAGATGCACATTTCGATGGTCGGCCCCCACCAACGCGAGCCGGAGCACCAGCCCTCGGACAATACGGCGACAGTTGCACGGCGGTTGTCAGCCCGCCATGCGACGCGTCTTGCCCCCGGCACTCCGCCTCGCCCCCACGCGCCCGGCAGCCGCCCAGTGAGGGGTGGCACTCGTGTTGGGCTCCTCATCACCGGGGGCCCCGCAAGCTCCGCATGTGCCTGCATGACTTGCAATCGGGCCAGACGCACAGGCGAGTCGTGGTGTCAGAATGCCGACTGCTTTGTATGTGTGCGTGTGTGTGTGTGTGTGTATGCGTGGGGTGGGGGCGAGAAAAAAACAGGGTGGGGCGGGGCGGAGAGTGCGCCCCCCCGCTGCGGGGCTGGTGTGTTTCCCCCGGCGTTCCTCTGGTGGTGGCCCCTGTCCCGCGCGCCCCGGCGCGGGCGGCGTGCCCCCCCCCCCCCCCCCCCCCCCCCCCCCCGGCCCCGCCCCCCCTGCCTCAAGGTAATGTTGAATATGTTATAGGGAGGGGGAGCCCCCACCAGTCTTCCGGCCCCCCCCCCCCCCCCCTACCCTACTCCCCCGGGGCGCCCCCAATCGTGGGGGCAGGGCGGGACGAGAAAACAATGCCCCACCACATGATGGGAGGTCCACGTGTCTATCAAAGGGCATGCTCGATCAGGGAGCCATCATGTGAACAGGACACAAGTTGATCGGGCGCCAGCCAGGCGACGCCGGTCACCGGGCTGCTCCGGGCGTCGATGCGCCGCGCTGCGATGGGATCGGCACTGGCGGGCTCGTGGCCGACCGGAGCCGAGAGAACCAGCACCTCGCCGTCCATGGTCGACATGGCAAGGTCCCTTCCGCTGGAGGGCCGTCACCACAGGGGAGGATCATGCGTCAGCAACATGGACTGGTGGTCACCGAAAGCCGGAAGCGGCAGGGCCCGGGCAAGGTACGTACAAGGGCGAGGGCCGGACGCTCTCGATTGCCGAGAGAGCCCCCGAAAAGAGAGTCTCCACAAAGGACCCCGGCTGACGGAGATCCATCAACTCGAGCGTCCCGTTGGACGTGGACACCAGCAGGGTGGGGATGCCGCTGGTCGCGCGGAAGGCCAATGCCCGCGGCCGGCCGCCGGGCGTCCGAGCACCTGCGGTGCAGTGGGCTTCCGAAAGGAGGGTCAGCCCCCCGCCGGGGGAGCTCCCGTCGACGGCCCGGTCCCACAGGCGAATGACACCCCGGCGGTCGGCCCAAGCCACTGAGGCAGACCCCCCGGTGGAGGGACACCATTCGGCGGCCAGCACACCGGCCAGGTGCGGATGGCACTGGGACGCCGGGCCAGCCAACTTGCCCACAACCATCCCGCCTTCCGGATCCGAAACAACGATCCCCAGCGACCGGCTACTGGCCGACAGGATCAGCCCATCGTCCGGGTTCCAGGACAGGGCCGAAATGGGCCCCGGGCGGTGGAGCGGAGCCGCCGCCACATCCACCGGCTCGATGGCCAGGTCGGTGTCGGTGACCGGACAAATGCGCCCGGTCACCAGGCGCCCGGCATCGGTACCCACAACAAAGAGACCCCCATGGCCGATCCAGCGAATGCGCGAAGCCCCGGCCGGCAGGTCCCACCGGCATGGGCCGGCCAAAACAGACCCATGCCATGACCGAGTCGAGGTGAGGTGCGTGCCAGCCGCTGCCACGAGTGGCCCGCCGGCGTTCGGCGTGGTGGCCGAGCTCGCCAGCACATCGATGTCCAGCAAGCTGGGCGGCGGCTGTGTGGCGCTGGCCGTGGCATCGGCCATCCCCATCAGCCGGGGCGCATGGTGGTGGAAGCCTGCGGGAGTGAACATCCTCCGCGGTGGAGGCAAGCAGGGGGGCCAATCGAGGCAGGGAGGCGGGGCGGGTGGAGGGGGG